CCCCCCCCCACCACCACCACCACAACCACGTGAGACAGAAACAAAGGTGGTTCTTAAAGAGACAGAGGCCAATTTCAAGGCGTTTAGAAGAGGAAGTGATGAGAAGATAAGTTTATTTTCTATTTAAACATAAAAACATAGTTTTAATAACAACTAAAGGTGGCATAGATATTTTATTATGGTATAGTATTTAAATGTATGCCCGAGAAACACATAATATTGCCCCTTTAAAGTCTACCTTAGACAATGCTAATGTGCTAATATATTTAGCAAGTAACAAAACATGTTGACATACTGTATGTCTCTTTTAAAACCCCACCTTTGTAGCAAACCCCACCTTTGTAGCACTTTGCTCTCACAATTGTGTGTTTGTGTTTGTGTAGTTGTCCCTAAACACGGGCAGGGCTTTTCCTAACCAATTTGGTGCCCTGGGCCAGATTTCAGGTAGCACCCCCTGTACAATTTAATAAATCTCACAGCCAGTTTACATACATTTACATACCAATTTAAATAGTCTTGTCTTTGATGTTATTGTTTATTTTTAAAAGCCAGGCTATCCAATTAAAATACTTTACAGAAATTCCTCCTGATGAGATCTACTCAAAACTAAAAAAAATCCAACCCTTTCAAGTGCATTTTACAATCCAATCAATCAATCAATCAATCAATCAATCAATCAATCAATCAATCAATCAATCAATCAATCAATCAATCAATCAATCATTTTATTTATATAGCACTTTATAACAGTAACTACTGAGCCAAAGTGCTTTCCATTGGTATTTATTCCAGTAGTATTTATCAGTAATAATAAATAAAGAATACAAACCAGCAACATTGGTAGAAAAATAACAATAACAGTGTACTACAGTGTGCTAAAAGCAATTCTAAACAAATGTGTCTTCAACTTTGCTTCGAACAAAAACAGGTTATAGCACACAACTCCAGTGGTAATGAATTCCATAAATTTGGACCAGCTACAACAAATGAACAGTCACCCCACTGTTTGGACTTAAAATGCTGGTCAGCAGTCATTTGATACTAAAATACCAAATTTATAGAATTAATAAAGCAACATAAAATCAGTATTATATGAATATGGAACACTGAAAACCAGACTTTAACTCAAACTTTATTTGAGATCTTAATTGAGACTTCTATTATCCTTATTTTGTTTTCTATTTCCACACTGAGCACCAGTTAGTCTTGACGACATCATATTTTATCACAAAACATCCTCTGCACCATGTAACCTCATGCAAATCAGGCAGAGAAACCCACAGAATATGTCATTAACCAGAATAAATGAACTATACTGRAATAAAAAGTTATTTAAAAAATGTTTTTTTTCTTCCCCCCATTTGTGGTGTCCCCTATGGACAGCGCCCTTAAAGACCAGTTTATTTTTTATTATTATTATTCACCGTTCTTTAACCAGGCACGTCCTGTTGAGATCTCAGATCTCTTTTTCAAGGGAGGCCTGGGCCTGAAGGCAACCTATTGTACATGTTTTTGTGGGATGGGGGAAAACMGAGTACCRGGAGAAATCCCACGCAGTCCTGGTTGATTGAGATTTGTACTTAAAGCTCCAACTCAATGAAGTTACCCAACACAGAAATGTCCTTCAGGTGGATCTTCATTAAGGTTTTAAAGCTGCAATATCATGTCTGGCAAGTGAGGAACAGAAAACTACAGGATGTGGGCTGTGGAGTCGTGGTGCTTTATTAACGTTTRAAAGCAAGATGCAATTGTTCAAAAACAGGTTGTTTGTTTTTTTGTGCCTTTTTTCCCMTCTAGGTGCTTCTACTTCCTCCCTTAGCTTAATAGCTTATATTTCTGAATGTGTGAACTTTTACAGTCATTTCGAACTGGTGCACTTTTATCCTAAAGGGATGGTCCAACTATTGTTGCATAATTTACTCTTATTAAGTCATAATTTAAATATAACGCAGCTGAGATCGAGCCACATGTAGTCAAGCTGGACCTTAAAGTGTATCTTACCCCCCATGAAAAGATAACTCTGCCCCAAGACGAAATTTGAAAAATGCATCAAAGTGGGGAGGGGAGGGGGGTTAGAGAGCGGAGGTGTGGCCTGGACGAGAGAATGCGACAGCTAGCGTTAGCATAATTGATGCTACATGGATAGTGACCACAGCGACGCAGATAGTTACATCTCTGAACGGTCTGAGGTGGAGGATTTTTCACCCCCCTCCTCACCAGAGGCAGAGAGAGACTTGATCAGGTCGGCTCAATCTGGGACTGACTCGTGGCTCCCTGGATAGGACCTTGAGCTCCAGCTCAGTCTCGGCTGAGCTGTCTGCCTCACACCACACCAGCCTCGGACAGAGGAGTGGAGCGCTCTGCGACAGCCTTACATAAAAAATAAAAGCATACAGCTCCATCTGCTCACAAGATCACTAGTTTAAATCAGGAATAAAAGTGTTAGGTCTTGTTTGACTGAAGTTCGGTCTGTTGGGGCTGCAGCTGCCCCGCTGTGTTTCTGCCGTTTTTTCCCTCCTCCTCTCCCGCTGTGCAGGATGT